TATAAATGTGAAAATCCTAGGTGAGTTTCTTCTTGAGTTATCACATTCATACACTTGACCTCTAGCCCTGACCTTGAGGTCGAGGTCACTGAGATTTAAAATCATCTGAGATTTTTAGTAGATGCACCGATGCTATCAATTTCAAAATCCTACGCTGCCCTCCCAGCCACCCAAGTGATGACAGTACACTGTCAGCCTTTTACAGGCGAGGGGTTGAAAAAAAAGAAAATTTGAAACAAATTGATTAGTGCAATTAGTCACAGACTGTATATAAAAGCTGGATGTGGCCATCACGACATCACCCACTGGTTAGTGCAGCACTGAGTTGAGAGTTTTAAAACTCGGGTGGCTAACATAGTGACTTGGCCACCCACAAATAATTTCAATTATTTAGCAAAAATAATTTACAGCATTAACTTTATTTTTCATTGATTAAGACTTAAAATTAGCAGCTGAATCCATAAACTCTTCAGGAAAATGTTAACTGAGTTTACGGATCACATTAGAAGAATTTACTCATGGACTTCTATACAATATAATTTCAGAGACGCCCCCTACTGGCCATTAGAAAGAATGCAGGTTTGAGGCAAATTTTTTAAAAGGTCACAAATTTTTTGTGCACGTTTTGGCTGTGTACAAATGTACATGTTTATTAATGACAATTAAAGGTTCTGCTGGGGCTGATTTTGTTACAGCTGAAAACGAGCTGCTCCCCTCTTTCCAGTCTTTGTGCTGCCGGAGAAAGCGATAGAAAAATCCTCTAATCTAACCTCGCAGCAAGAATTCCCCCAAAAACTCTTTCTTTAAAAACCGTCTGCTGGAAAACATGATTCAGTAACAGACTGACTGTGTTTGTGTGTGTCCTTCTACCATGTGTACCATCGTTTAGGATTTAAATACTTAATTTAAGACCCGCAAAACAGACGTCACCACAGAAAAAAAACATCAACCCACCCCCACAAAAAAAAAAAAACAAAGAAAAAAAAGGGAAGTTAACCATTTTTCCACAAATACTGCAAAGTTCATGTGATGTTTGCGGGGCTGAAAGTGTGCGCGCAGGGTTGGAGGGTCTCCAGTCCAATTCCGCTACACTGTAATTAAAATCACATAAAATACATTCAGTCTCTTTCACACTACCGGCGGGAGAATCTGTTCTTGAATGCTTTGATAGTTTTGGCCATCATGGGGGCGATTTCTGTGGGGAAGAAGGAAACAGGAAGAAGTGATTTGTTAGATTAAAAGACACACACAGAAAAAAAGAAATCCTCAATGGTGCTTTCAGCAAGACTTACTTTTGACTTGAGGTTTTTCCCGGGCGGCGTGTCCTACTCCGCTCGGTGCAGAGAAGCGGGATGAACCAGCGGGAGGAGGGTTGTTTTGGGAGGAAGACGACTGGCTTGATTCTCCGGAGTAGTCAGTGGTAGCCGGTCTTATTCTGAAGGACACAGGAAGAAAGCCACTGTGGTGAATATTAAAAAAAACCCTACACAGCTCTGTCTGCAGCTGTGTGCATCGATAGAGAAGATCTTCCTCCTCGTGATTTGAAACTCAGTCTGTGATATTTATCAGGAAATCTCTAAACATCCTCTCGGTTTCTCCCTGATCTTATTCTGTACTCACTTGATAGGAGCTGCAGCTGCTGTGGAGCTGGCTGTCGAACCACTGGTGGTTCCAAACTTCTCCTGTCGGCGGCGAACATCACGGGGCGGCTTGGCGGCAGAGTTTACGTACGCCATCTTAACCTGACGTCCTGTTAGAGGAAACAACACTCTCGGTCAAACACTCAACAGCCTTAAAAATATAAAAAAAATCATCATGAATCATAACTACAGAAACAAACAGAAAATCCCAAAAAGCTTTTTCTTTGTGCTTTATGTGTCGATTTATACAAAACTGCAAAAGCTCGTCCCACCTTTGGGTTTGTTGGCATGCGCAGACGTGATATTCTGTGTGAGCATCCTTAGTCGCTCCTCGCGCTCGTCGTGCAGCCTCAGGTACAACTCCCTCCATGACTCGTACTCCTGCGGAGACTCCCGCTTGAAGTCACGCCGACAGTGACGCATCCACAGCTCATCCGATTCCTCCGTGAACCACTAAAAGGAGGTGAGAAGAATCTTCAAAAAGGGATGTATACCCATATTTCTCATGACAAAAAGTGACATTAATACAACTTTCTCAACATCCAAACTTTATATTTTATAATATTTTCTGGAAAGCTGTAAACTTGCGCCAGACAGAAAAGATGGAGACAAAGAGGCAGGCGACCGACTTTAATGACGAATATGAACTTTAATGATGAATAACTGCTCTGCTTGTAAAAGTGTTACATGTGTAGCAGCCATTCAGAGTTCATCCTCCTAAGTTTCATAAAATACAGCTTGATAGTTTTTAACAAAGTTTGGAAAAAGAAAGCAAATGATGCTAAAAGATTTATCCACCTTATATTTCTATTGTGAAAACAAAACTTTTGCAGTTTGTGCAAATTAATTCTATTTCAGTGGAATAAAATAAGAAGTGAAAATTCTCTAGATTTTTCACTTCTTATAAAAACACCGGTGGCCACCAATGCTAGCACTCAGCCTGCTAGTAGATACACCTGTGATATCAATCTGAAAGTCTTACATCGCCTCGTTCTCGAGATATCGCATTCACAAACCTGGGTGTCCACGCCGCTCACCTACCGGTACAACGGGGTGACAAAAATATCCCATCAGTCTTTTATGGCTGAAGGATAAAAATCAAAGAGGTCAATGTGGACGTTTTAGCTATTTTTGTGGCTACATTTTTTGATTCCACGCTCCTTCCTCACATTAAGCTTTAAGATTAAAAGTTTCACTGAAGTCTGACATGTTACCTGGTTGCTCTGCTCGATGCGGTACAGCTGCTCTGGGGTACATCTCTCCAGAACCGGCTCCAGGATATCGAACGGCACTCCTCCCACCTCAGCGATCGCTGAAAGAGCAGAGAGGCATCGTCAGGGTGGGATTACACTTTTTGTTCATGTGCATGCACAGTTGCAGACACGTTCCTATTCGACAACACAAAAAGCAGTTGGGTGGAGTTCAGGCAAGGACCACATTTGAGTAGATACTGACTTTGAAAGACTGTGGAGACTTTCTGCTGTACTTTTATCCTTTGTTGTGAACTCTGATCACCTGGTACCTACACAGACCATCACAGTGAGTGAAGAGCAAAACAATAGCACCTTCAAGGCTATGAAATTGCCCCCACGCTATTCATGAACTTAGTCTCCGGCAAGGTTATTAGAGTTATCGTAAAGAGAAAGAGAAACTAAACACAAAAGCTAACCCTGATCTGAAACTGTACTGACTCCAAAATCTATTCTGTTCAAGGTGGGCCCAGACCTACATTGCTAAAATTATCCTGCAAATCAGTCCATCACTATCTGAGTAATCCTGCTAACAAACAGGGAAACAGATCAAACCAATCACATACCTCTGTGATGAAACTAAAAACTCTAAAACGTAAAATCCTGCAGTTGTTTAAAAGCAGCAGGCAGAGAAATAAAAGTAAAACACAGAAATTAAACTTCAAAAACGACATGCTATACTACACTTTAGATAAAATTAAACTCCTCTCATCAGCTTTAATATTCATGGTCAAACTCCGTGGCATCATCAGGCCCTTGTTGCCCCCTGCAGGGAGGCTCAGAGACTGAGAGAAATACTGCATATCCACTCACAGTCGATGTTGTTCTGCAGGACACGGATGCATTGCTCGTACAGCGTCATCATCTTGGGCAGGTAGGCGGTCTTCGATCCTGAGTAGACCACCATCTTGGAGTTAAACCGCTTCCCCGTGAAGCCTGCATCATCCTCTTCATTGCACACAGGAACTGAAAGTGAAGCGAGCGAACGTCAGAGTGAGCCTGAATGTAGAGGATGAGGAAGAATGTTTGCAGATATGCTGATGCTGGCAAGAAAATCCAGATCAGATCGCAATGTGCACGAATGTGAGAAATCACTCGCAGGTACATGTGTGACCTGATTCAGAAGTGCAAAGATACAGAATGAGGAAAAAAAGTCTAGAAAGCATCTGTCATTCAGTCAGAAGCGGTTCCTCTCTTCACCTGCTCCTCAGCCACAACTGCACTCAAGTTTCTGCATGAAGTGAGACGTTATGTCACAAAGTTAACTAAAAGTATTTGTTTCTAAGTTATAACAACAACCACTTAAAAAAAGAAAGAAAACATTTTAAGGCGCTTAATTTATGCACAAATACAGGCACAGAAAGACTCATGGAAGGGTTCACCTTTTTGATGCCAGAGTTTGGTGTTCTCATAGCAGTTAAACGAGAAATAACATAATGAAAAAGTTTTGATATTGGGGGCGAGGGCCTTACCTTTGCGTCTCTGAGGGGACAGCGGTGTGATGTCAATGGAGGGCAGAGGTCTGTAATTGGGCTGAATCGCTGGCAGCTGGATTTCAGGAACAGTCGGCACAGCTTCGTAAACCTACAACAAGATAAGAAACACTTTATTTATCCCAAAAGATGGGAAATGACTTATAGCAGCCAAATAATCAGAAACAACTCATTATTTGTCTGAAACTATCAGAAAGGTAACAACAGCTCAGAAAGGTAAGGTAGGGTATCAATTAAACAAAAAATAAAAACAAAAGTCAAGACCTCAATGAAAGAAAATCTAAATATGACAGAAGAAGAAGCACAACTCTAAAATGAATGCTGGTCCTGGGGTATGAGATGGATACTAAACCTGCACAGTAACTGGATGCAGTGATGTGGAAACAGCTCATCAAAGTGAGGGATTTACTCAGAAAGAGGAGAGTTCAACAAGTTCAAGATTTGGCCAATCCCCCGTTTAAGGTCGTCTTCTTGTTCACATTCAGATGGTTTTATGAGCTGCTCTTTATCCTTTTGCTTTTGTAAAACATCCACTTTGTTTTTATTTTGGGGAAATAGATGAACTCATTTCTGCTAAACCTTCTCTCTCAAACAATCAAGAACATTGCAGTCTGACAAACTCATGTTGCAGAACCTTGTGAATGTCAGTAAAACACAACAGCATCTTCCTGGTTGTGCTGCTGACCTGATGCTCTGACGTCAAGCTTTTAAACTGAACTCTTTCATTGGAAACTGCTTTATTCCAGCTGGAGACCCAGCTTTCAACTGTTGCAGCCGATACCTTCCTCTCACTGTCCCTGCTGCAGGTTCCTTCCTTTAATTAAAAATGGAGTTCTTCCTCCCCACTTTCACCAAGTGTCTGTTTTTCGAGGATTGGCTTATTTATCGAGTTTTCATTCTAATAACATAGGGTCGTTATAATATAAAAGCACCCTGAGGTGACTTATTGAGAATTGATGCCATATAACTAAGTTTGAAATGAATCGTATTATTATTGTCCAACATTTGACACTTGCACAAGATGCTTTTGACACTCTTATTTGTTTATGTTGAATATGAAGCTCTTCCAGTACACGGTTAGTTTAGCATAGCATAAACATGGACTGACCTTTGTTTGCATTTCTCTGCTTTATCATCTGTATTTCTCACAGTTGCATCATAATTTACAAAATGAGGAACATTTTTTATTAAATAAGACCTTAAACTAGCGATTTAGGCCATAAATGAATCATTAAAGTGTTTACTGAAGTCATAAACCATGTGGGCTTATAGGTAATTTTCCCACAGAATTTTACAAAGTTAAACATGTTCTTGCAACCAGAGGAGTCGCCCCCTGCTGGCTGTTATAATGAACAATGCAGGTTTAAAGAACTCCTGTGCAGGCCTCACGTTTCAGACCCGGAGGCCACACCTATGTTGTATCTGCAATCTGTGGTTGGTGTTTCTACTTTCTGCTTCTGTCTGCATCACCTTGACACTGGAGTTATCAACTGTTGCTAGGAAACAAAATCCCACAAGATAAAAGCAAAACTAAAGGCTAAAGGCATCTCACTGATCTGATGTTTTCACCAACATGACACCATCAGAGTTCTAACTGCAAAACCGACGGCAGCAAGCAGCAAGTTCTACAATCACTGCAGAGCCTTTAATGTCACAATGAGTGGATGAACCCTCTGAGCTGTCGGTCTTTATCAATGAAGAGAAGGAACCCTACACAAATGTCAGCTGCAGTTTTCCTCACTGAAAAAACTCTGACAGCTGCAGAAGACGCTCACAGAAGGAGTTTGAGTTACGGCTCACTCCAAGGTTAGAAAAGTACGTTTACACCCTGAAAACTAAAGCTGAGTCATCGGTTTAAACACTGAGTCATGCTTGAAATTAAAAAAATGCTCATCGATGCTATCAGAGATCTGCTCTGGGTTTTGGCAGTCATTTTCTTCTACTCTCCAAGTCATCCGCCTTGAGGCGACTTTTGTTGTGATTTGGCGCTATATAAATAAAATTGAATTGAATCCTTAAGGACGATTTAACACCTGTTAGAAGTCTAGTTTTACCTTTTCACAGTGTTAAGCAGGAGTTTCTTTACAATAGCTGAACAGATCATGGCATCGCACAGACCTGACAAATTTCCCCATTTTGCTGATTTTCTATGTTGATTAAATAAAAAGATAAATAACATGTTTAAAAACAGTCGGTACCTCCTTGCTTCTCGATGGCGTCGTCACCGCTGTCCCCGAATGCGTCCTCTTGGTACTCTGAGCGCCGTTCGCCTTGCGCGCTTTGGAAGAAGAAGAGGACGAAGAGGAGGATGCAGGTGGAGGTGTTCGTGTGCGATGGGAAGACGACGTTGACGAGGAGGAGTGAGACGGCCGACTGTGCGATGAAGATGAAGCTGACGGTGTTTTCTTTTTCTTCTTCACAGACGTCGGGGCGTCGTATGTGAGGAAGGACTCGAAGGACATGGTGGGCACCTCGAAGTCCTCTTCTTCCTCCTTAGGTGGAGAGTCCTTCGGCACTCGTGGTCGCCCTAAAATATGAAGATCATAATTTATTATACTGCATTAATTTCTCTTAAAATATTCAACAAATGACAAATATAAAACAAAGACTTTAATCCAGGATTTTATTTTGGATTTATGGACATCAGCACTTTTATAAGAGTAGAATTTAAGGCAGGAAGCAAAGAAATCAGAAATCTTGTCTGGAGGTTCAAGCCACAATCGGAACGACGTAGTAGCCTATCTGGCTAACGGTGCAGCACAATTCACATGTTACTGCTCACAAAACAACAAATATGACCTGGACCTTTGAGCACAATGTCTGTGAAGACCCATTAGGTGACCACTCTGTGTAAACTAGATTCAAACCTGAGGAGGAGGAGTGATTCTTGTGAACGGACAGACAGACGGGTGCCTCGCCACAGCATAAGCGTTTCTATTTTATTGGCCAGATGAGCTAAAAACCGAGAGGTGCATGACAACCTGACATAACCATCATTTTTTGTACGCACCGCCATTTGCAAGAGCACCAACAGTGACATCACCAACACCGACACGCCTGAATACTTCACCTAAGAGGCGTCCAGGAAGCGTCCCAGTCAGATGCCTAAACCACCTCATCTTGCTCCCGTCGATGTGGAGGAACAGCGTCTCCCTGTCCGATCTCTAACGTAGAGCCCAGGCATCCTTTAGATGAAACTCATTTCTGCTGATTGCATCAACGATCATCACTATAGGTGAGGGTGAGGATGCAGACTGACCAATAAATCGACACGCTCCGCTCCCTCCAGCACAACGGACCGTTACAGCCTCCTCATAAGTGAAGTTTTAATTATTATTACATTATAAAAATTGTTAACTCCTAATTACTAGTGACTAACTAATTACTCAATCACCTAACAACACACACCCCCCTATCTGCTTCACACATGCATGCTGTGGTTAATGAACCAAACAAGAAAACAGTTTGAAAATGTCACTTTGTCACTTCCTGTCAGAGGAGTTTCTCGTGCTGTTTCTACGATCGCTCAGTTCCTCAGAACAGGAAGTCACTCTGTGTTGTGGCCATATTTCTTGATCCAAGCTGATAAAACACACACAACCTTCCTGTTGCACAGAGCTGCACAAATGACCACACAATGATTGCCTTTAACCTTCTATAGTAATTGTTTTGGCTGTGGTATAAGTACCAGAAATCAAGAGTTAAATGACAGAAAGAAGATTATTTAAGTGCCCCTAAATCTCACGGCTTATTTCCTTCATAGCAAAGTAAAACATTACACAGTACAACAAGAAGATGATTATCTTTCAGTAAGACATTTATGGGCTTTTAGTGAGGAGAAGATGGTGTAGTTATAGTTTAAATTGTTATTCAGGCTACATGTAACAAATTAATTCTGACATGTTTGGTATCTTTAGATAAACTGGGATCTTGAGTGGAACATGAAAAATTATTTCTGTGAACCTGATATTTGACTGCAGTCTTTTAAAGATTAAAAAGACTGGTCAACTGCTTTTAAAAGGTTAATTTGTTATTCAAATGAGACTCGAGTGATGCAGTCACCTGTATGCGCCCACAAGCAAGGCAACAGGAAGGTGTCTCAGCGAGCTGCAGATGTTTTGATTTTAAACTGTTTTAAAGTGCTCATAATTCTGCAGATGTTTTTTTCTTCTGTTATCTTTAGATTAACCACTGCTATCAGTTACTCGAGCAGCTGGTTATTGTTTCCTGTAGTGGTTGGGGGCAGCTGCCTACATAGGCAGGCGCTGTAGCTCTTGTGAATTTTATTAATAAAGCGCCAAATAACAACAACAGTCGCCTCAAGGCGCTTTATATTGTAAGGTGGACCCTACAACAATACATACAGACAAAAAGCCAACAATCATATGACCCCCTATGAGCAAACACTTTAATGACAGGGGGAAGGAAAAACTCCCTTTTAACAGAAGAGAACCCTCCAGGAGAACCGAGCTCAGGGAGGGGCGGCCATCTGCTGCGACCGGTAGGAAGACAGGACAAAAGACATGCTGTGGAAGAGAGATCGAGATTAATAACAAGTATCGAACTCACCTTCATCTCCTCCTTTCTTCTTCTCCTCCCTCCTGCTGTCATGCGTGGTTGACTTCTTGCTGTGTTTGGCAGCCTTCTGTACCGGACTCTGATGTCTCTCTCGGTCTCCGCTTCGCTTCTTCCCCTGACTTCCTCCGCCTTCTCTATCGCTATTCGTCTGTGCGTGGCGTTGCCGCCGCTCCTCGTCTCGGTTTCGGTCGCTGTGGTGGTTCTTGCTCGGCTCCTTGTTTGGTTTGGTGTGGCGGACGTCTTTGCGGGACACAGGGGGAGGAGGTGGTGGCGGGCTGGGTTCAGGTTCGGGCTCAGGGCTTTCGTATTCGTCTGAGTGATACCCTCCTCGCTGTGGGGGACTGTACTGGTCGTGCTGAGGAGGTGAAGGCGAATAGTTGGTGTGGTAACCTCTTTCCTCCTCTTCCTCCTCTACGTAGGAGCGGTCTTCCTCAGGCGAGGGCTCTCGGGGACGTTTATGGTCTCCTCTGCCGCTCGCGTCGTGGCCTCGAGCCTGCGTGTGAGATCTGGAGCCGTGGCTGTTGGGTCTGAGGAAGAAAGATGGAGACAGAACTCAGTTTTTGCAGATGACGCCATTTAATTTGGGGGTTTTATTTTGAAGGTTTGGATCTTCTGTACTGAAAAGTCATCGTTACATACGACCATTGCAGAAACAGAGCACACAGCGTACAGACACATGAGAGCTAAAGTCATGCATGTCGAGGAAGAGGTGTGCAGCCGATACCTGTCTCCAGACTGAGGAACCAGTTTCTTCCATTTGGCTACGAGATTTTTTGCCACCTCTCCAGCTAATTCGTGTTTCCTGAAGGAGTTCACAGCCTTTCCCACTCCAGTTTCCTATGAGAGAAATTCCCAGATTTAACAGTCATGCTTTGGCAGCTCCAGGCAAGCGATTTAACTGGTCAGAAACAAGTTCAGGAGGGAAGCTGTCAACTTGCTGTCCCACTCATTTATCTAGAATATTTTCCCTCTGATTTTTGCATCGACAGTTTGGAGGTGATGAAGCAACACATCCTTACCACCAATATGTCCACAGTCATAGGAAGCTCCCCGAGTCTTTTCAGAGTCTTCAGCAGCTGAAATAAAAAGAAAGGAAAAACAAAAATTTATCATTTGGAGAAAGAGTCCCGATTCCAGCACAGAGCCTTTCCTTATTTTATGTTACAGTGATGGTTGTTCATATTAGACGAAGCCAAAGACTCAAATACTGCAGACGTGACCACCTGTTCTTCAAACCTTTTGTTTGTGAGATACAGTCAATCACAAGAAAGTTGGACTTAAGGGAGACAGAGTGTAAGATAAATTATTTTGAATCAAGAACCGTGTAAAAGCTACTCTGGTTGAGTCCAACAATAACAATATAGAGCTGAAATTAAGCAGAATGAGTTTGTTTAAATTTATTTTCCTAAAACAGTTACTGAAGCTGCTGTTTTGGTAAATATTACTGTTGAGCCCCCGAAAGGTGACAGAGGAGATTATTCCTGCCTTTGTTTTAATCCACATGAAGAGTTGGCGTGTTGGTGTTGTACAGTTAAAGGAATAACCTGATGCTGCATTTAGTGCTCGTTACATGAGGGTTGGGCTCTGCTGGTCGTGAGCTCAGCCTGATACTGAACACGTGAAGATATGATGATTATCGCTGTGACTTTGGCTGCTGCTGTGCTTCATGCTTTGCAGTGGAAAAGTCCAGCAGATCCATTTGAACCTGAGGTGCTTCTATGACACACAGCAGCAGCCCGGGCTGGATTTCCACCAGCTCACGCTGCGCCTGTTTATCAGCTACAACTGTTAACTTTACTAAAGCTTCTAATTAGCCCGCTGTTACTGTTTTCACACATAAAACCTGCTTTAAAGTTTTCAAAAACTTTGAGAGCTCATCCTCAACTAACCTGGTCCAAACTAGCCCAGTGAATGGCTTTGGACAGTGAACACTGTGAGGTGTGAGGACTAAAAATGGAAAGACCACAAACTTCATTATTTTGTATTAAAATACACATAAGACAGCTAATTAAATGTATTTAGAACTTCTTTACGTTAAAATAAAGGCGGATTTTTATACAGCTGTTTAAGTGGTCTGACCCACGTGATATTAAATTGAGCTGTAGTGTGGCCCGCCTGACACCTGTGGTTTAAACAGATACACAAGTGTTTCATAAAAACAATCCTTATAAGGAATTGTAACAACAGCAGTAAATTTGCTGGGACTGTTGTGGCCTGTTAACAGGTGACTGCTAGGCAACATAATGTAATCGTAGCGTGATACAGATAAGAACCTTCAGAGGCCTAAATTTGCATCCACACTGGAAGAGATTTGCTCGTCTTGTGTCGCTTTTTAATGTATAATGTATTTACTAGCAGTCTAAAATTCTTTGGCACTGGTTTGGCATTGACCATGTGAGGAATTTCTTATGAGCATATACAAGAGCTAAAGTTTGTGGGGGTTTTGTCTTTGTACACTTTTGTATTTTCATTTTATTTCCCAGTAAAAACAGAGGATTCAGATGCTAATCATCTTTAGGTTTCAGCAGGGATGCATCCACACAACACCTCCTTTTGAGACTCAGCAGAGCCAATTAAAATGTGGGACATTGTCTGAATACCTTAGACGGGTGGAGGGCTGATATGCTGTACAGGCCCAGGTAAAAAGTAGGACATGCGGTCACCCTTAATATAACATACACTGGAATGAGTGCATCTGGATAATGAGTAAAGAATCATGGGTGATGAATTTTTATTCATACATTTGTGTGGTTTCCTGTTATTTTGTCATAGTGAATAAGAAAAACATAAAATGAAGAAGCAGGGTATATTTCCTGTGCCAATTTGAAATATTTATTCTTAACTTTTCTCTTTAACGTCTGCAGAGTCTTCACAAGTAACACGAGATGATTTACCCTTTTGTGCTTGCCTTAAAAATGTCCCGCACTATTTCTAGTTTAAATAAAGGTCGACACATTTACAGATGGATCCCTACTGAAACCCAAAGATGTTATCCCATAGAACGGCAGCTGTAATAACAGTCTGAACACTTAGAACAATACAAAAAGTTATTACACAACCATTCAACGACTGCAAAACCAACTAAAACATCTCAAAAACATTTCATTTAAATTAAACACATTACACTAAAAAACAATAAACCGGGGAAGCTAGGGTAAACTCAAGGAAATTTTGAGCATTCAACAATTAATTTCCTACATTTCATGCCTCAATTTGCACTTTTTCCAAGATCAGTTTAGAAGGAAAAATAAAAAGGAAAAATCCTTTTTCTTTTACATAAAGGATTTTTCCTTTATGTAAAGGAAAACACAGGAATCAGTTCAAAAGCATCTAAAATGAAATGCAATGAGACTCTAATAAGCTATTTTCAAATAATTATTCTCAATTTTTCTAATGTATCAATTTTTAAAACATTTTGTCGCCCATCAATATTTATTCGTCTGTTGTCTTTAGTTTGCCTGGTTCCTGACCAGTCAGACTGTAACGAGCTGACTGCTTTTGAGTCTTTGTATTTGGATCGGTAACCTCTTAAAATATTACTTTTCCATGTCTGAAATAAACTAACTCTCCATTTTCAACCTTTTCCATGTTCAGTAACAGATTATGAGGTTTCAACCGAGCCTCTGGAGAAGACATAAGTCCTCTGCCCGAGGATTTCAAGGTACTGCTGCAAACGGTTCAAAAAAAAGTCTGAGATGTAGCTGAAGGCGACTACAGAGGGTCTTAAAGGCAATCAGTCTGTTACAGTCAGGCATGATGAGATAAAGGCAGGGATAAGATTCAGTGCGCCTTGATTACATGATTGCATTATTAGGTTTGCATTATTTGGGACCCAGTGGCAAGGCTTTGTGTTTTTGTTTGTCCTGCAAAGTCCGAGTCACTTAAACAACTGGTACATCACAATTCATTATATATTAAAACTGGAAAAGTGAACAGGGCGTTAAAGCAGATTTTCATGCATTTCCTCTCTGAGATTTTCTCGGTAGAGAGGCTCCATCTGCTCCGTGGACCTGCTTCATATGAAACTTGCAGCTGCTGCCTGACTCACACTATCTGCGCTCAGCTCTGCGCCATCACTGCTAAAGGATGAGGTGGCCTAACGTGGCAGAGCTGTTAGAAAACCTTTTCCCTCCTGATTTTTGCGTCTTCTTTTGCAGTTAAAGCTTCACTTGTGCAGCTTGTTTGTGCTCAGCAAACGCATCACACGCATCCACGCTGCTTTGTTACACACCAGCAGTAAACAAAGGCGAAGCCAAGAGGCCGTGTGTCACCATTTACACGCTTTTATCTCCAGTTTTCTTTAACAATAGACTCCGGGTTTGGACATGAGTAGGAGCCCAGCTCCAGTTAACCAGAATCGGGTAAATCTCAGAGGCCTGTCGCCGCTGAGCTGTCACTACTTTCTAACGTTAGCTAGCTGAACGGCTAACGACTGCTCTAGCTTCGAGTTTGGTTTTCGGGTCAAATATGTCGTGTTTGGTGCAGCTGCTCCGATAAAAGGCAGAAAATAAATCCATATGTACTAACAACGAGCTGACAATCGTTACATTGAGCTGAAAATGTAGGGTTAAACAACTACGTTATAACAAGTTAAAACCCCTTAATTACTGTGACGTCCCACACGGTGCCTTCACAGGCTGTCGGAACACACTGAGATACTAAGAAACGACTGTGTTTGTGGTGACGCCCTTCTGAAATACTGTTGTTAAGATAAATTTTTAAAAAAGAAGATTACTTTAGACACAATAATAAATCACATAAATACGGTAAATGCCTCTCTACAATTTGAATTGATGCAATAACAGATAATGGTCATTTAGCAAGAAATACCCAGATATTGTCTTGTCCAAACTGGCCAAACGATTCAGCTAAACAGCCAAATAACATGCATTTACATTTTATTCAATCATCTGCATTTCAATTAAAGTCCCTAAAGGTCCCTGAAATATCAATTTAAACACTGCTACATAATTATGGTTTACTAAATGATCAGCTTTTTATTTTTAATCTATTTTAACTAGAGCCTGGCCGATCCCTTAGCCAATATCAGCTATTTGCAGTGTTTGTGTGTCTGAATTTACAATGGTCAATAAATGAAAGTTAAGAAAGTAAAGAGATGGGAGAAACACCATTCAACCATATTATGAGTTGTGATGTTCCATAGTTTGTCCACCAGAGGGCGCTCTGCAGCTTCCCTGCTGGCAACAAGAGACATATACAACAAACAAGTAAATAAATAATGAAACATGGCTGATGTCAGGGAAATTTCTTTATGTTTTGTGTGTTTTAAAGATTAGAAATATCTAGATATATATAAGAATATTGTATTTTTATCTAATCAGATATTGGTATCACTCACACTTTGAATTGAATGTATCCTATCTCTGAAATAAATCCCACAATTCTGTGGGCTACAGAGGGTCATGACATTTTCAGTTTATATAATCAATGTGTATGACTAATTTAAATAAGTTTAATTATATTACAATATATATTACAATATATATTACAATATATAAATATATTACAATTACTTGCTATAACTGAAAATAAATGGTTGGAAAAAAAAAAGATTCAGATTTTAAAACATCCAGGGAGACGACAGGCTGTGTGAATTGTTCTTACTGTGATGAGGTAAGATTTAAAAATGCAGAGCTGTTTAGGGAATTTGGTGTTTTCTGCATGACACAGTAAAAAAAAACCAACAAAATAATAATAAAATAATAATCACAAATATGAACGACACCATGCCAAAAGCTTTTGTTAATCTATTACTCAATAAGTTGCATTTTAGAAATGTGAAAATGTGTACGACTGGCACAGATGCAGCTTCTGTTAACAAGTAAATGACCTGATGCATGCTCAATCTTCCAGGTAATAAAATCCCTGAAAGTTGACTCTGTTAATCTGGATGTGACGTTTTCAGTGGGAGAAATGTTTTGTCATTCAAGTGACTTTTTCAGTCTCTGCTTCACTGAGTGACTGAAGAACTCACTTGAATGAGTGACGAACTGTCATAAGCATTGTAGTGTTAAAACATGTTGAATTTCCTGACTGACAGACACCTGCCCCAATATCTACAGAGGACTGTGATTATAGGGACCTATAGAGTGAGTCTTCCTCAGTGGCCTAGTTAACAGCTGAAGCTGCAGCCTCACACATGAGTGAGAAATGGAAATCCTATTAGCTATATTGGTTTAAGGAGGCAAGAGTAACTGTTTATATACCACACACATCAATGCCCAGAATCAGTGTCAGATTAGTGGCAGGTATGATTTCCCTGGTGTATACTTTCATTATCCCTATAATAAATTACACCCAAATCATAATCCCAAACATCTGTTGTACGCAGCAACAGACAGTGGAGATATTTACAACTATCTCCACTGTCTGTTACAACTATGGTTTATATTATGATTTCAACATGTAGAAATGATGAGAAGTATTAGAAATGTGAACTGTTGATCTTATTCTCCTAATGTCTTTTTTAAATACTTTCTTTATCATACAGTTATCCCAATGCTAATTTAATACTCTGCAAATGAATTAGATTAGCATTGTGTTGCAAATAAAGCTGCCACTTCAGGAAACTGCTGATGCTTCATCATCACAGTCTGAACCGAGAAATGTGAGAAGACAGAGTCGGAGGGCGAGCCGTGAACGCAGCATTTAAAAAACGTTACGACTTTCTGGGAGCCGTCGCCGTGACCGCGGCTTCCTCACGTCTGTCGGTCACGTTTCGCGGAACGATCGGTGCTGACGACCAAATGTGTCCGTGTCGACCTGCTGGGCCGTTACCTTTCGGGGCTCCTGGTTCTCCTGGAGCCGGGACTGAAGTCTCTCCACTGTTTCCAGCAGTTCCTCCGCCATGTTTACTGCTGGTACCCTGTCGCCCGGAAACGGTTTGATCCAGACCGAGCAGAGAAAGGGAAGAAACGAGGCGACTTCCGGTACCTGGGACGACGTAGTTTAGAAAATAAAAGCCCAGTGCCAGGAAGAAAAAAACAAAACAAAAACAAAACATAAGTCAAACGTAATTCAACACGTACATTCATTTAAGATGTAGAATTATTTATTTATTTTTTACCCCTTAATGATTTAAAAACAATCTGAAAGCAAAATAAACACAATAAAGTGAACTTACTATAAAAGTATTAGTTTGTTTTCCACAAAAAAATGAATATAAAAAACTAAGCTTATGGCGTAAACTCACCCCATCTTATTCAGTTTGGCTACCATACCCCCAAACAGATTAAGCTTCACTAAAGTAACATAAAAAATGTTCATAAGCACAGACAAAGCAGAGATGCTGTCAACCACAGACTGACTGGAAGGGTCACTTTAAAACAAGAACACCCATTCATTGAATTCCTCTATCAACAATTGTTTCCAGGGGACCAGCTTCAACATTTCTGAATGCACTTGCATATACTGTAGCGTCTCCAGGAGCTTGTGTAAAAAGTCACAAATGTCTTCCACGTTAAATGTATTGGTATCACTGACTATGCGATAACTTGGAGCTGGATGTTTTCCTCAGAGTTATGTCATAAGATTCATTCTTAAAACTAGAGTGTTGGTTGACTTACAGTTAATTTTTTCTTTTATACAAAGGAAAGCTACTTTCAGCTACCTCCTTATTCACAAAAGGTCACCACAGCAGTTAGCTTCACATGTTTGATTTGGCAGATTTTTTTTTTTTTACACCAGTTGCCCTCCTGACATAACGCCAAGAGGATATGTGTCTTTTCTTGGGATCAAACCAGGAGTCATTTGCTTGCTATGTGATATGTGAACCACTGCATTATCCAAGCATCTCATCAGGAATCACAAACCTGTAGCTGTCTGGTTTGTTTGGATTTGAATTGCTGATATTTATTGAGTGCATGTTTACGTGAGACAACACAGGTGATATTTTTATATGATGTCAATTCTGTGCATGACTCCAGTTGTCAGTTTTTGTTGCATTTAAATTCCAGGCACATTTATTACTATCCACTAAACACTAGACAACTTAATGTTTGCAGTAATCATAAAATAACTATTGAGCCATGCTAACCCTGTTTGCTGGTGTGAAAAAGCTGAGCAACAAACTAACAAAGAAAACAGACACACAAGAGAGAAGCCAAGTTTAACACCTGACACCCTGAGGTCCCAAAGGAGGGAGGGTGGTGAGAGGAGAGCAGGCCTGTTATGGATTCTATTCTAGGAGGGGAGGGGTGATGAGGGGGTGCCTGTATTTGGAAATGGAGGTGGATGCTGGAGAAGGGAAACGAAAGAGGAGGGTCTGATGGGGGTTGAATCATACGTTACAGCTTTGTTGGGGACCCTGATACTGACACACAAACAGTCACATACACACACACACAGCACTGCTGCAGATGGACAGAGGACAGAGGGACGGAGCTAAGAGGAACCTGTGAGTGAACAACCACCCAGAACAAAGAAAGACGGTGAAAGAAGACGAAAAGGAAGGGAAGAAGAGCAAGAGCGAGGCCAGAGAAAGAGGTAAAATACATTTAATTTCAATGCTTAACAGCATGTTGAGGAGATTTTATTAAAGTGAAATAAAAACAAAACACATATGAAATTATCTCAATATGAAATTATGCTATTATCATAAAAACTAGAATTTATTCTAATCTTTATATTTAACTGTTGAGTGGAAACAATGTGAAGAAGCTGCTGCTGGAATATTACTGTACCGCAGGGGGTGTTAGAGCACACACACACACGCCTGTAGTGCTGGTCAGCTTCTTTAAATACCCGTATGAGATAAGCAGAGGAATGCAGCCACATGTGAAAGGTGATAGAAGTCGGGAGCTGATGTTGTGTCGTGTGGATTTATGCTGCACAGGTACAGGTGACATAAACGCAGTATAGCACAAAGTATAGCACACAGTTATTATGGGTTATTATTACTGTTACAGTATGTGAGCCTGTAGTTGGTTGTGGAGCCCAAGCATGAAAACAGCATGAGCCCACCTGTCTCTGTAGCTCAGGTAAGACCTCAGCAGCTTTGAATCTTTTCTCTGTTGACTAATTTCTTTATTTAACGATGAACGTTATAAATGCAACCATTTCTACATCGAGCTGACCGCCTTTTCTTGAGACTCTTGGTTTAAAAAGTTTGATTGGATTTTCCAGCACGGGCAAATTTGTCATCAAGATTTCAAACAAAGTGAAACAAACAGAAGATTCTAGCTTGTAAGAAGAAGAACAAACGTGTGAAATTCTCACATCAATATTTATAATTCGCACATGAGAGCTGAAGGCTGTGAGAGACCAGATAAATAAGTTTACCCGGCAACAAATGAGGCAGAATTTACACACAGACACTGTAGATGTCTGTATAAAGGTGTTGTTTATGTGTAATCCAGATTAGGGATATCCTCTCCACGCACACTATGGAGAAGACTGTGTGTGACTGTTGTTCCCAAACAATTCAGGTATGAATCAGATGGCTTTCTATTTCTGTCCGTGGAAACAATATCAACGACCAGTTTTAACTCTGTAAATAACGCCGATGTTTCAGACTATAGCAAGCAGCTGATCGGTGAAATTGCTCTAAAATCAGTCACTTCCTGCTGAGCATCAAACAGCAAATAATCAGAGCATTTATATATGAATTATATAAGTTATTAATTCAAAATTATACTTTAATAAATGAAAGTTTGCTGACTTAAGCTGCTCTTTATGCCAGAGAGAATAATTGTGTGTGTTCACTGTGGATGTGAGGAGTGCTGCTGCTCCTCCTCATCGACAGGTGCTCTCCGTCTCCTAAACCTCCCACACTGTGATCCAGTCACAAAAGGCAGCAGATAAATTCACACTTAATACATAGTTGTTGTTTTTTTAAATTGGCACATTAGTTCTTTTTCCTCTAATAAGTAGTTTTTCACTCCTGAATCACTGCTGGTTGAAAACACATCTCTAATCAAGTTTAAAAACAACAAAAAGGAACAATAAGCACACTCGGAGAATCAGAATCTGTAGACTGCGCTTGTGTTGTGCAGCTCTTACACGTTTAACTGAAAAGACGCTGCTCGTTTTCTGCAGAGTGACAATTATTGGAGAAAATTTGTGCTTCTTTGAGAAGTGCGACACACTCAGAGCAGCTTCACAGGAGCACAGAGCTCAAGGTTTAAAAATAAAATTTCAGAGCTGAAGCTGGACCTCCAGTGCTTAGATTACCAGCCTCCTCCTTGTATTTCACAGTAAAATAGTTCCTATTTCTTCAGGTGAAAAAGCACGAGTGGCAACAGCAAATTAATACAGTTAAAAAGTGTTTTCAACATCATTTAAGATGTATTTTTCTTTTCCACCAGACACAAACAAACATCTATTAGACTGCAGAGAAGAAGCTGTGAGGCTCATTACAGCTCCACAACTTTAATAATCAAATTCAAAGAAAAGCAGAGCTGAAGCCGAAATGGGCAACAATGTTAAAAATGTTTATGTTTGTAAATAAGAAAATAATCAGCCCACAGATGGATCATGTGATCACTGGCAGCGATTCAAACTGAATTCTATTTGTGTTCGGCTGCATGTTTACATTAATAACTTTCAGAGTAATCTATTACACATATGGGCTGATCCGCTTTAGTCCAGAGCTTTTATTTAACCACAGGAGGCAGGATCTTCTCACAGTTTTTGTGATAACACCTGAACTCAAACTGATTAATGCTCAATCGTGTTGTTTTGAAAGAGGTATATTTGTTGTTGGTGGTGGTTGGAGCTGGGGGTGGAGGTCTGGTTCCCAGTACGGTGGATGACGGAGCAGCTGCTCGCACCTCTAACCTTGGTCCCAGATATTTGTGACAGCTGACCCACACAGAGCAAAGATTATTTTCACAGCACTGAATCACTTCGTTAGCAAGTTTGTCTGAAATCTTGATTTTAAAGATGTTACATGTTAAAGGAAATGATAGATGGATTTATTTATGTTTAAACTACGAGAGCACAGCGTCAGCTAGTGGCTTGTTTTTATTCCAGATGCATTTATATGAAAGGGAGTGGGCTTATTAATATTTGTGACAGGCCACATTTAGTAAATTACACTTGTAAAACATGCATTTAAGTAATGCTTCAACATTTAAGCTAAGCTACTTTCAGCTGCTTCCTCTTTCAAAGGCGTCACCACAGAGGATTTGGCTGATTTTCCTTTCCTGATTCAACCTCAAAGGGATTTGTGTATCCTCCATGGACTGAAGTGGGGATCTTTCATATGGTAGACAAATGTATAAATCACTACACTGTGTTTAACTTTTGAAAGGGAATGAAATTCAGTAGCCTGCAGAGACTGAAGCTACTCTTCTAAACTAGTTAGGTTAAAATACCGGTGGGCGTTTTTTCCCTTTAGGATTTAGGATGTAGGCTTTGTCTTATGAGGAAGAACAAAAACTGTCCGGTGTTCAACCATGAGCATAAAATTGTGTACACCAAGAAAAAGGTGCTTAATCAGATTTAGCTAAATAGCAGGCGTTGATTAGCCTGAATGTGATAAAAACTGCAGTTCCTCTTACGGCCACTTGAGGCTTGCTCCTAAACTGAGTTCCCATAAACCTCCAGGTTAAAACACCCTGCTTACAGTTTTCTGTGGATAGTTTCTCTCTGAGGGGCGTGGCCACCTTCACTGACAGCTGTTGGGAGGCAGTAACCAGCTGTTGCATTGTGGGCTTCACCTTTGCTAATTAGAATTAATGAACCATGGTATGCTATAAGACAGACTTTCCTTGTGTTAACTGACAAAACCTGAAATCCCAGCTGGAGTAAACAGGTATGACGGTGCTTATCAGCTCTCCCTGTTAGGCTTCCCTTATCACATGATCATAATAATAAAATGGTGATAAAAATCATTAAAATGCATAGTCGTTGCAAAAAGAGATTAAGTCACAGAAAATGGTTAAATCTGGTGATTTATCGCACTGAGCGGTAAAATAAACATTTTATTGTTTATTTATGTTATGGCAGAGTGCGCCCTCAGTGCTGCTGTTTATATCTGAGACTTAGAGCTCTGATAAGGAGACGTGGAAATCGCTTTAGTTTGCCAGCAGATACAGAAGTAGGTATTCCTGGTGTGTGTTCTGTGCTCTGGCAGCTGCAGCTCCAGCTGTGTGAAAGAGACTCACACTCAGTTTGGGTTTAATCAATATTCTGATTACCAGCTTGAAGAATCTGTATTGCACTTACATCATGCTTTGAATAAAAGAATTAGTGAATACCTGGGTCTGTCAGACGATTTTAAACTGTGAACATAACCTGCTCTTGACCAGGTTCTGTGTTCAGCATATGTTACTGCTGTGATTTAGCCAGGCACAAAGACACTGAAAACTCTGACTTTAAGCTTGAAATAGCCCGCTGAGCCACTAATCTCACTTCATCGTGCACCTCTTGGGGCCTCTGTGCCATGTTTATGCGATTTTTATGGGACTGAAAAAGAAATTCTTACTTTATTTGAAATTTCTATAAGTAAAAGTTTGCATATTTTTTAAGATCAGGCTGTAAATTTTCAATTTTCTACTTTTACGTTTGGTTTTGTCTTCATATCTCTGCTGGTGCTTCATGTTTTAATGGCTCTGCGTTGCTGTTACCATCAAACTGAAGGGGAGCGGCCAAGGTCACAGTCACAGAAACCCTGTATAGACTCACAGACCCGAACGTCTGTGGAGTGATTTCACTCTTCTTCTTCTGATGTATGAGGTTATACAGCAGCTTAGCAGTCGGCTAAACGCTACTGTTTCAACTGTTTCAGGAGGGATTGCAACACTTCAAGTGACCATTTGTAACTCTGAGCTCCTCCTCTTCATATGACACCAACAACAGCTGCTGCTCCGTCCTGTACTATCCCATCTCCCACCCGCGGCCCGTCCTTATGTGGAGCCCAAAGGCGCTATTTAAGGGAGGAGGGTGGAAAGAGCGGTGAATCACGTCTGTGGTCTCGGTGGTTTCACTGCAGTTATGTTTGAGTTGTGGGTGTAGGAATACTTTTTCCATGAGGCTAGAAGTTAACCAAGCCGTCTTTTTGATGAGCTGAGAGGTTTGACAGCATCAGATTACAGATACAGTAACACTGGTGGTCGCATCAGAGGATGTTGTTAAAGATTTAGATCAGCCACATTCTGCAGCAAAGGAAGCATGAGAAACATAACGGAGGCAGAGAGACAACATCATTAATTTACACCATCTAAAAAAGCTTAAATCACATTAATAACATGTTAGAAATAAGCTCATATATTTTAACATATTAAACCTTACTACGTCCAGTCGTTGTGCAAGCACACATTCATAAGTTTTGCAGATTATTTTGCTAAGAGAGCAACAATTACACAAAAATTAACAAATTCTGCTTCTTAATGCTTTAATGGTTTATCCCTCCTGAAATCTACACTTGTGCCCAGTTCTTCACTAAACAAAGGAAATGCGGACTTACTGAACATGTTCTGGAATGACATCAAGGGCAAAGCTGCTATTTCCAAGGCTGTGTGGTTTTATAACTGGCAGAGCTCGTTATCAACAAACTGTGAGCCAAGAACAAAGATCACCGTCTCTGTTTATCGCTGCATGTCCACAACACTTTAAAACTCTGCAAACAGAGCAGGGAGGCCTCTGCGTTTGTGTCACTAACATTTATAACCGTGTCATCGTGACCTTCGCTCATTCACTGCATCACGCACGAGTGCAGCAGCTGATGTAGAAAATAGCTGCATATAAAGCACAAAGCAGACACGCCGAGTTTCAGATGAGGAGTTTTTATCAAAAGATTTGAAATTTGCTGTTTGTCCTGCATCGTCAGAGAAGGATGTGTTTGTGAGTGTGAACCAAACAGTGCCACACAAAGACAAAAGACACAAACAGACAGATTCTTTGCAGTATAGATTGCTAATATTTTCTTTTATAGCTTTTTCTCCCAATGGATGTTCATACTACACCAACGTTATTAAGTAATAGATAAATGATTAAATGATGTAAAAGTTCCTGGGTTTTGGGTTTGGTTTTTTTTACTATCTACTGTAGAAATAATCAGTTCTCATTTTCATTTCTTACAATTTTGGCCCAAAGCTCCGTGCAGATACATTTTTTGGTTTTACCAGAGCAGCTTTTCTTTATCGTGCAGAAAAACTGAGATGTGCTGTTGATATTGCACTTCTTATTCTTATATTATTCTCAGAGATTAAATGTGCAGTCAAACTTCTTTACACTGACAGAAAGGGGAGAGTCCGGCCCACGATGTAAAATGAGTTTGTCATCCCTGATTTAAGATATAAACCAACCAAACCAGAATAAGTAGAATCCGAAAGCTTTCAGTGAAAATTGTTTGTAAACAATATTACAGGCCAGTTGCACAAATACATTTATGCATATAATATACAAGATGTTACTGTTTTCAGCTGAAAAGACAAGACGACACCCTCCATCCTTCATGCACAACTGAACCTATAAGCTTTCAGCATATGCAGGACGTCCCCTATGCAACATTTCTACTCTTTGTTTATTTCAGACACCCTCTAACATCCAGTGTCACCTCACTGCTCTGGCAGTTTGTAGAGCTCGACTCATTGCGAGCGTGGCTAAGATTCCCCGGTCGCTTTGTGAGTGAAATACGGAGCGTGTGATGTGCAACAGTGGGCCACTATAAACCGCAAACACCGCCCCGAGCCGAGCCTCAGGACACATGCAGTTGTCATTCACAGCTACAGACGTGGAGTTTGTCCTCGGGCGAGCCTCTGCGGGATTTGGAAAAGGTTCTGGTGATCAGTCGGTGTTTGTTGTGTTGTGTCAGAGTACTGGTCATCTGTCAGTAGGCGGGGAGTGGATCTGAAGTCACCATAATACAGAGACTTTTGAAAAGCTCGTGGATTTTGTGATACTGTAAACAGAAAATGTAAGAAGTGGATCCAAAGTGCTTCGTCAATATGTACAAAATATAAAAACTGCGATGTTAAACAAAATTTCAGCAATAATGAAAAAAATGTATGAGAATAAAATACTGGAAATACCAGATAACAATAACTATAAAGGAAACTGGGATGATGTAACAGGACTATTTACACCAGAGAGGGAAATCACATCATGAAGCTTCAAGCTGAGTCACCATTTTAAAACTAGATGTGAAGACTGAGGGGTGGATTTGATTGGTTGTTAGTGAATGAGTGTATCCCAGGTGATCATCCATTCTGACTCTGATAATGACCATAATCCAAAAGCTGATCGGCAAAGTGTTTGCTGAGGTAGTGAGGGAGGGACCTGAGGGCTGTTTTCCTTGCTAAGCAAATTGAGGCCTGGTCAGCACTTGAATTTGAGAGCACCTGGGAAGAGCAGCTGCAGTAAACTTGTGGTCAGCACTTGAATTTGAGAGCACCTGGGAAGAGCAGCTGCAGTAAACTTGTGGTCAGCTGTGGCCCAGGAGGCAAAGTTGGTCATTGACCAACTGGACGGTTGTTGGGTCGGTCATCAGCTCCCCCAGGCTGAACATCAAAGTGCTTGGACAAGTTGGTGAACTCCAAATTTCTGCTTCTGTTTTCTTCCAGGTGCTGTGTGCTGTGTTAGAGTGAAACCACCAACCTACCCAGCTATCTACACTGATCCAAGGCTGCTTCACTGAACACTTATTTTCCCCTAAAGAAGATCAAACCAACTCGTTTGAACATTTTATTGTAAAAGTAAGTTACTCAGTGGGTGAATTTAATAAACTCAGTCATTAAAGTAAAGATCGACTAAAACAAAGAAAAAAACACATCGCCCACAGTCCAACGATGCCTCCCAAGAAGAAGGCCTCCCGTCCGAAGAAGGCTGCCGTGGAAACCATCTCTCAGGTCGCCATGGAGGCTGTTTCAGCCACCTTGAAAGTGGAGAACCGTGGCGACGGTGTTGTGGTGATGGAGAGCGGGGTGAAGAAGATTGAGCAGATGGCAGCTCTGGACATCGCTCAGCTGAACAGCCTCAACCTACCCCTGCCGCCGCCCGTCATCAAGCCCGGAGAGAGAGGCCTCGGCCTGGGCAGCGAGCTCACGCGACCCCTGCACGGCAACGCCCTGCTGGAGGAGCTCAGCAAGATGCGCCAGGAGAAGTTAGTTTGATGCTGACTGCTGCATCACACTGTAAAACACTTTCAGTTAGTGATAGAGTAATATATGTTTTTGTGCAATAATTTAAGTTTACAGGCTGCTGAGGCACACAAGGGTAATTTCAAGATTCAGGCTGAATTTCATCAATAAAATTTCAAGGAACTGAAAAACTTTTATTGGCACTTTACAGTACGCGCCAAAACAGCATGATACAATATAATCTTCTTAGGCTACAGCTATTATTGAGTGCATTACAAAACCCACACATTTAATGAATCTTTCAATTAAACACATCAGTAATTCAGTTATGGAATGATACAACCTGGGAAAATGACCAGTTTAGAGTTTTATTAGAGCTTTCTTCTTCTTTGTTCCTCCCAGGTTCCTGACTGATCTGGAGTTGGCTTGTAAGACAAAAGCCTTTGATGTCCACAAACTGGTGATCTCCTCAGTCAGTCAGTACTTCAGGGAGATTCTGGCCAAAGACCCCAGCATGAAGCGCCTCGAACTCCCCTCCCTTTCGCCTCTTGGTAGGTTCAATTCATGTTAAGACAAAGCTTAGATTCTTACATGTAACCTTCAAATAAAGCTTACAACATAAGTCAAACTCCTTTGGCCACAGACTTCATGCACCTCATGACGGTTACCAGGCCAAATGTACAGCTTCTTCCTCCAAGTTTGTCACAATGGCCAATCACAGCATCTCTTATACCGATGCTACAGCAATAACATCTTAAAAAAAGAGACTGCGTATTAATAGTTTTCTGTCTTTTAGATGTTTTTGTTGAATCATGTCGTGCTGCAGACTATTTAGGCAGATACCTTACACAGCCATTACTTCAGTGTCTCGATGACATTAAGGCTTGGATGTCTGTTAACTTTTTAAAATTCAATGATAAAAAGACAGAGGTGATGGTTTTTGGTAGCTCCACTGAGACCCCCAATGTGTATGTAGATTCCCTGGCACAGTATGTTAAGCCAACTGTCACAA